GATGGTGTTCTTGGGGTCATAGGCAGCATTCCTCCTCCTCCAAACACGGCGAGATGAGTTGATGCCAAAGAGCTCGATTTTGGTCTCATCTGACCACAACACTTTCACCCAGTTCTCCTCTGAATCATTCAGATGTTCATTGGCAAACTTCAGACGGGCCTGTTTATGTGCTTTCTTGAGCAGGGGGACCTTGCGGGCGCTGCAGGATTTCAGTCCTTCACGGCGTAGTGTGTTACCAATTGTTTTCTTGGTGACTATGGTCCCAGCTGCCTTGAGATCATTGACAAGATCCTCCCGTGTAGTTCTGGGCTGATTCCTCACCATTCTCATGATCATTGCAACTCCACGAGGTGAGATCTTGCATGGAGCCCCAGGCCGAGGGAGATTGACAGTTCTTTTGTGTTTCTTCCATTTGCGAATAATCGCACCAACTGTTGTCACCTTCTCACCAAGCTGCTTGGCGATGGTCTTGTAGCCCATTCCAGCCTTGTGTAGGTCTACAATCTTGTCCCTGTCATCCTTGGAGAGCTCTTTGGTCTTGGCCATGGTGGAGAGTTTGGAATCTGATTGATTGATTGCTTCTGTGTACAGGTGTCTTTTATACAGGTAACAAGCTGAGATTAGGAGCACTCCCATTAAGAGTGTGCTCCTAATCTCAACTCGTTACCTGTATAAAAGACACCTGGGAGCCATAAATCTTTCTGATTGAGAGGGGGTCAAATACTTATTTCCCTCATTAAAATGCAAATGAATTTATAACATTTTTGACATGCGTTTTTCTGGATTATTTTGTTGTTATTCTGTCTCTCACTGTTCAAATAAACCTAGCATTAAAATTATAGACTGATCATTTCTTTGTCAGTGGGCAAACGTACAAAATCAGCAGGGGATCAAATACTTTTTTCCCTCACTGTATATACAACCAAGTTAAAGACTAGATATGTCTGTCATGAGAGACAATGGCATGAATGTGTTTGTAGGAATAGTTGTTGTTGTTGTTGCTACTGTTGTTGGAGCTATTGTAGTTTTTGTTGCTATAATGGATATTAGTACGTTTATAGTAGGCTAGCTTAACACAATACCAAAGAATGAAAAATAGAGCAAAATTCCACTTAGTGCTTTAACATATTGTCAAAGGAATACTACAAAATAACAGACAACAGAAACACGTGTTCATGACAACTTAATATAAAAGTCATACAGTATCTTTTGTTTGACTAATACTGCCTGTTTACAAAAGTCCCAATCACTGCCACCACAAGGTCACCTTTTACTTATCCAAGCACAGCCAAGAACCAAAACAATGATGCAAAACCACTAACCAGTCTGAGGTGTTAGTCCCATATGTAGACCATTACAATTAAATACACACCTTTCATCACATCACAATGTAAAGATTTATGTGTGTACATTATATTATCTAAGGCAGGGATCATCAACTAGATTCAGTCGCGGGCTGATTTTTTCTTGATCAGATGGTCAGGGGGCCGGAACATTATTACAAATAATTGTAGACTGCAAACAGATATAATATTTGACTAAAACATTATAATTCAAACCTTGCTTACATTTGTATATGATCACACATATCTCTCTATTATGCGTGGGAATACTTTGGATCAGATTAAAATTCCCCGCGGGCCAAATTCGGCCCGCATGCTGCCAGTTGGGGAACCCTTTTCTAACTCATTTTGGGAAATGACTTACTTGATGGTTTGTTTCCCATTTTCATCAGAAAAGGTTGTTGTTCTCTATGAGTGAACAGAACAAATTAGTGGCGCACATACAGGGAGATGAATAATCCTCAATGTATTTCAACACATACTAGATTTTTGTCTAAAATAACAGTGAAAATGTTACATGGCGTAATGCCTTAATCAAGCTGAAACCCTTATTTGTATTTGGTTGTACAGTAGCCTAAGTAGACGTGTATACTATTGTGGCTTAAGGGGTTATAAGGAGAACATGCAGACATTCAGAGAAATATTAAACGTTTTTACCTTTAGTAACACTTCTAGAATGTTATTAACAATCTGAGCTAAATTTGACATTTTTAATGTGCCTACAATCTCAGTATTGTGATAATGTATGTCTCAAAATCACAAGTATTCATTGAAATGACTGTTTCGTCAGCTAAAAGTATATGTAGTAAGGTAAGTGTTTCCAAAATGAGAAATAGGACGTTTGCAGCAAATGAGAAAGCAGAGAAGTGTGTGTTATTAATGATTCATTATGTACTATTTATCCATCATTCATTGGCATTATAATCACCCACCAACGACTAGCTTCAGTGATAATAGGCCAATAACAGATGTTGAAACCTGGTTTGGTGTGAATCTGACCTCAGAGATTAGTTCACCATGAATTCACCAGGTTTTAATAGAGGACCTTGGATTTTTGTGGCCTGTGTTTAGCAACATACTGTAGTTGCACACAGCTACTCCTGACTAACATGGCCCACATTTGACCTTGGCCAAAGTAAGTTCAGATCCTATGAGGATACTATGAGGGATCCCCTACTGCTGTCCCACTAACATCTGGTTAGCTTCCCTTTTCACTTTACAAACGCCTCCAGCAGAACAAACAAGGTTTCTATGAAAAATAATAATAATAACTTTTTTCAATAACTTCGACTTTAAGGTGGTTACTCACACTAGAACTGTCACTGTACAACATGTTCCATTAGCATCCACATTTTTGTTGCATAATCTGATTTATGCAGTCTGAAATAACTGAAGGCTGAAATAAGGATGGAAAGATAGAGATAAGTTACAGTGGGGGAAAAAAGTATTTAGTCAGCCATCAATTGTGCAAGTTCTCCCGCTTAAGAAGATGAGAGAGGCCTGTAATTTTCATCATAGGTACACGTCAACTATGACAGACAAATTGAGAAAAACAAATCCAGAAAATCACATTGTAGGATTTTTTATGAATTTATTTGCAAATTATGGTGGAAAATAAGTATTTGGTCACCTACAAAAGCAAGATTTCTGGCTCTCACAGACCTGTAACTTCTTCTTTAAGAGGCTCCTCAGTCCTCCACTCGTTACCTGTATTAATGGCACCTGTTTGAACTTGTTATCAGTATAAAAGACACCTGTCCACAATCTCAAACAGTCACACTCCAAACTCCACTATGGCCAAGACCAAAGAGCTGTCAAAGGACACCAGCAACAAAATTGTAGACCTGCACCAGGCTGGGAAGACTGAATCTGCACTAGGTAAGCAGCTTGGTTTGAAGAAATCAACTGTGGGAGCAATTATTAGGAAATGGAAGACATACAAGACCACTGATAATCTCCCTCGATCTGGGGCTCCACGCAAGATCTCACCCCGTGGGGTCAAAATGATCACAAGAACGGTGAGCAAAAATCCCAGAACCACACGGTGGGACCTAGTGAATGATCTGCAGAGAGCTGGGACCAAAGTAACAAAGCCTATCATCAGTAACACACTACGCCGCCAGGGACTCAAATCCTGCAGTGCCAGACGTGTCCCCCTGCTTAAGCCATGTCCAGGCCCGTCTGAAGTTTGCTAGAGTGCATTTGGATGATCCAGAAGAGGATTGGGAGAATGTCATATGGTCAGATGAAACCAAAATATAACTTTTTGGTAAAAACTCAACTCGTCGTGTTTGGAGGACAAAGAATGCTGAGTTGTATCCAAAGAACACCATACCTACTGTGAAGCATGGGGGTGGAAACATCATGCTTTGGGGCTGTTTTTCTGCAAAGGGACCAGGATGACTGATCCGTGTAAAGGAAAGAATGAATGGGGCCATGTATCGTGAGATTTTGAGTGAAAATCTCCTTCCATCAGCAAGGGCATTGAAGATGAAACGTGGCTGGGTCTTTCAGCATGACAATGATCCCAAACACACCGCCCGGCAACGAAGGAGTGGCTTCGTAAGAAGCATTTCAAGGTCCTGGAGTGGCCTAGCCAGTCTCCAGATCTCAACCCCATAGAAAATCTTTGGAGGGAGTTGAAAGTCCGTGTTGCCCAGCGACAGCCCCAAAACATCACTGCTCTAGAGGAGATCTGCATGGAGGAATGGGCCAAAATACCAGCAACAGTGTGTGAAAACCTTGTGAAGACTTACAGAAAACGTTTGACCTGTGTCATTGCCAACAAAGGGTCTATAACAAAGTATTGAGAAACTTTTGTTATTGACCAAATACTTATTTTCCAACATAATTTGCAAATAAATTCATAAAAAATCCTACAATGTGATTTTCTGGATTTATTTTCTCATTTTGTCTGTCATAGTTGACGTGTACCTATGATGAAAATTACAGGCCTCTCTCATCTTTTTAAGTGGGAGAACTTGCACAATTGGTGGCTGACTAAATACTTTTTCCCCCACTGTATCTATTGACTCTAACCTTTTTGGCATATCACATGTTTTCTTATCAGACACTGATCATAGATAGGTTGATTTCTTTAGCTATTAAATATCCCATATTTACAGTGTAAGCGCCTCTGTTTTGTGTGTGCCTTGTTAATGTTAGCAGTGCGATAACAGTATAAAAATTTTTAGGTTACCACTTAGCTGTTCAAACAGAAAAACTTAACAATTTATACGTATTCAATGTTACATTATTCTGGCTTATAGTGCAATAAAAAAACACAGCAAAATCTTCAATACTTATACACATTTTCCAGTCACTATGTGTTTTGTTTTTGTATTTTTCTTATTTGGGATATTGTGTTCCCTTAAATTCTCAGTGCCAATATGTGCATACATCTTTTCTCAGGTGCCAAGTATCAACCAAGACAAGGCCCAAACTAGGCCACACGTACTTGTCAGTTACTGTTATGATCAGTCTGAAGTATGTTCATGAAACAATCTACCATAAAGGTCCTTCACACAAGGAGAAATCCAATTTGGCAGTGTACCTGCAGAACATAATGGAAAGATAGGTAATCACACCTCACTGCTTATGCCAGCAAATATTTTAATCTTTAGTAATGCGCAACAATCTTTTTTTTGCAAAAATGCATGTCAAGGCGTTTTGAGCAAATGCAGAGTGTATAAAAGTGGTGACTGTAGACGCAGTCTTTGTACAAGGCAATCATGGGCAAAGTACTGTTTGTGACGGGTAAGTAGTTATGGTGAAAGCTCAATGCATCCAACGTATGCATAACAAAATGTAATCTGTGTCTTCTCTTTCCATAGCTCTAGCCCTGCTGCTGCATGCACAGCTTGGTAAGTGGACTCCAAAACACAAACTCTTAGTAGGCTTGGGACGGGGTCTCAAATGAACTCAATTGTGGTCCATAGACCAAGTACAGTACAGATGTAGGATTGTAATTTGTGCCAGTTTGCTACAGCAGAAAAATAGTCCTGCAGCAACAGGAAATTTGAATTATTATGTGGATTATAATTAATTGAAATTGTGTAGCGGTTGATGCATTTTTTTGCAAGGGAAAATCAAGTCTGAAATTTCTAAGTGGAAATTACAAACTTCAGAAGCCTTTTTAAACCTCAAATACAGTATATGTTTTACATTTCCTGCAACAGGGTGATCAAATTAAGATCCTACATCTGTACTTTACTAATTATGGGACAATAGAATATGTAAACTAAGTGGATTATGAGACTATTGTTGAAAATAAAGTAATTAAAACCTATAAACGAGTGAACGACAGCAAATATCAAACCATTCATATCTGCTTTTAACTTGTTTTCTCAGGATCCTCCTACATTTTGTCATGCTACTTCACAAACTGGGCACAGTACAGACCACCCCCCACCATTTACATGCCCAATGACATTGACCCATGTCTGTGTACCCATCTTCTCTATGCCTTCGCCACCATGAAGAACAACGAACTGGCCACCTTTGAGTGGAATGACGTAGAGCTCTATAGCCAGTTCAACGGCCTGAAGAACCAGTGAGCCCCTACTGAGAAACGAACACCTCATGAGATTCACCTCATGAGATTGTGTCAAGAGAGACAAATGTTATCAATTTACTACTTTATTTTTTCTTTATATGGAATAACATATTGTATTTCAACAGGAATGGCAACCTGAAGACTCTTCTGTCTGTTGGAGGATGGAACTTCGGCTCTTCTGGGTAAGATGATCTGCTATATCTGTTTGCATACTCTCCTCTCCATAAGGGCAATCAGTGTCTCTCTATTTCCCTCTATTTCTCTCTATAGATCACCAGTAGCTTGGCTTCCATCCAATTGGCGACAGATTTTCATGCGAATATTCAAAAATTGGCATGAAGAAAATATGCACATTTTCCCTGCAGTTGTGTGTTTCCACCAAACAGACGTGTTACAGATAAAATCTGTGCGTGATGACGTAGTCACCTGTAGCTCAGTTGGTAGAGCATGGCGCTTGCAACGCCAGGGTTGTGGGTTCGTTTCCCACGGGGGGCCAGTATGAAAATGTATGCACTCACTAACTGTAAGTTGCTCTGGATAAGAGCGTCATCTAAATGACTAAAATGTAAAAAATGTAGTGCACACAAGATGTACTTTTTCGCTTAAGTTTTCATGAACCTAATACAACTCTGTTTCCATTGCATTATCGACTCTACTGATAGTTTTGTCACAAAAACGGTTAAATAGCAAATGTGCCTACTCTGGTCTTGGCATGTGCGCTCTAGCCAACAGCTCGCAGATAGGCCTAGTTCGGGTAGGCTGTGTGGGTAGGCTAGTCTATATGATGAGATTATTATGGATAAGAGCATCGATCATCCTGTCACTAGAATAATTCCCTCGATATTTATTGAAAGGACCATCAAACTCATCACTGTGCACTTTCACCACCCTGTGAAGTTCATCATAATTTCTTTAATGTGTAGCCTAATAAACTGCATGGTTTCCCGAGTCGTAGTGGGAGGACCACACACCATGTAATCGCGTGACTCCCAAGTTTACTTCGACATGATGGTCATTATATTAATATTTGAGCATAAAGGCGTTTCTACCACCATTTCTCGCAAAAAATAATTTGACCGATGCAAAATTATTCCACCATGTCAAACGAACAAATTATCTGTAGGCATTTATAATTTTTTTGGGAAACGTACTGTTTCCATCACAGCTGTCATGATTTTTTTTTTTTAAAATAAGGTATGACTTTACTCGCATAAAAACTGTGTATGGTTAGAGTCATTCTATTTCCCCATCAGATTCTCTGCCATGGTGGCCAGCCCCACCAACCGCCAGACCTTCATCAACTCTGTGATAGTGTTTCTGAGGAAGTATGAGTTTGATGGTCTGGACATCGACTGGGAGTACCCAGCCAACAGAGGGAGCCCTCCTCAGGATCAGCAGCTCTACTCTGTTCTTGTGGAGGTAAAGTTGACTAAACACTCTGTTTTCTGAAGATCTGCAGTAAAGATTTCCCAGGTGTCAGAACAACAATAAAACAACTGAGAGAGTTGAATGTTTTTCTGTTGCAATAGTTATTGAGTAAATAGTAAAGCCCTAATACTGTATGTGTTGATAACAGGAAATGAGGGCAGCCTTTGAGAAGGAGGCTAAGCAGACCAACAAGGCCCGTCTCCTGCTGTCTGCTGCTGTCTCCGGTGGAAGGGATACCATCAACTCTGCCTACGAAATCCCCAAGCTTGGACAGTAGGCATCATCCACTCTGTAGTGGCCTATCTACTGTACTCTGTAGCCTGTATACTGCCATACAGTCACTGTCTTTCTCAAAAAGATATTACTGCTATTCAGGCTATGATACTGACCATATAATAACAGTTTGCCACTTTTGCCACCTCTAGGGCCTTGGACATGATCAATGTCATGTCATATGACTTCCACGGCTCCTGGGATCCGTTCACTGGAGAGTGCAGCCCCCTGTACAAGAGCCCTTTTGACAGTGGTGACTTCATCTACTTCAGTGTGGTGAGTAGGTCAGGACAAGGGTGGATGGCTGTTTGTGGGTGTGATGAGTCTGCTGAAGAGCGACGTTAACCCAGCAGGCAGCAAACACTAATATATGAAGCTATTGTGTTCCAGGACTATGCTATGAACTACTGGAAGAACCATGGAGCCCCAGCAGAGAAACTGATGGTTGGGTTCCCCACCTACGGCAACTCATTCACCCTGAAGAACGCAGCTAACAACGGAATCGGAGCATCTATCGCCGGGGCTGGAACTCCTGGCAAATATACACAGGAGGCTGGAGAGCTGGCTTACTTTGAGGTACTTTAAATGGTGATATTTATTTCTTACATCATAAAAAGTGAATTCTAACTGTTGAGGGCCTCCTTATGGTCTGGTTTCAATTGTATCTCAACTTCGACTCAACTGGTTGCTTCTTATTTGATGGCTTTATCATAACAAGGGAAATTATACTGAACAAAAATATGAACGCAACATGCAACAATTTCATTGATTTTACTGAGTTACAGTTCATATGAGGAAATCAGTCAATTTAAATAAATAAATTAAGGCCCTAATCTATGGATTTCACATGACTGGGAATACAGATATGCATCTGTTGGTCACAGATACCTTTAAAAAATGGGCCTCACAATGGGCCTCAGGACCTTGTCACAGTATTTTTGTGCATTCAAATTGCCATCGATAAAATGCAATTGTGTTCGTTGTCTGAAGCTTATGCCTGCCCATACCATAACCCCACCGCCATCATGGGGCACTCTGTTCACAACATTGACATCAGCAAACCGCTCGCCCACACAATGCCATACACGTGGTCTGCGGTTGTGAGGCCGGTTAGACGTACTGCCAAATTCTCTAAAATGACGTTGGAGTTGATTTATGGTAGAGAAATGAACATTCCTGCAATCAGCATGCCAATTGCACGCTCCCTCAAAACTTCAGACATCTGTGGCATTGTGTTGTGTGACAAAACTGCAAATTTTAGAGTGGTCTTTTATTGTCCACAGCACAAGGTGCACCTGTGTAATGATCATTCTGTTTAGTCAGCTTCTTGATATGCCACACCTGTCAGGTGGATGGATTATCTTGGCAAAGGAGAAATGCTCACTAACAGGGATGTAAACACATTTGTGCACACAATTTGAGAGAAATAAGCTTTTTGTGCGTATGGAACCTTTCTGGGATCTTTTATTTCAGCTCATGAAACATAGGACCAACACTTGACATGTTGCGTTTATATTTTTGTTCAGTGTACTTTCAAGAACAATAAAAGAAAGGGATGACTCTTGATGGAGAGAGGCATCAGTTTTGTTGGCTGTTGTCTATTCCCTGTGTTTTTATGTATCACAGATCTGTGGGTTTTTGAAAGACGGAGCCACAGAGGTTTGGGACGCAGCACAGGACGTGCCGTATGCCTACAAAGGAACCCAGTGGGTGGGCTATGACAATGTCAAGAGCTTCGGGATCAAGGTAAGAACAATACAATAAAAAATGGAGTATTTGTTGCAATGTGAAACTACTTTTCATTAAGCATACACTGAGTGTACAAAACATTAGGAATGCCATCTTTCCATGGCATAGACTGACCAGGTGAATCCAGGTGAAAACTATGATCCCTTATTGATGTCACTTGTTAAATCCACTTCAATCAGTGTAGAAGAAGGGGAGGAGACAGATTATAGAAGGATTTGTAAGCCTTGAGACAATTGAGACATGGATTGTGTATGTGTGCCATTCAGAGGGTGAATGGGCAAGACAAAATATGTATTTGAATGGGGTATGGTGGTAGGTGCCAGGTGCACCGGTTTGACTGTGTCAAGAACTACAATGGTGCTGGGTTTTTCACGCTCAACAGTTTCTGTGTGTATCAAGAATGGTCCACCACCCAAAGGACATCCAGCCAACTTGACACAACTGTGGGAAGCATTGGAGTCAACATGGGCCAGCATCCCTGTGGAACTCTTTCATCATCTAGTAGAGTCCATGCCCTGACGAATAGAGGCTGTTCTGAGGGCAAAAGGGGGTGCAACTCAATATTAGGAAGGTGTTCTTCATGTTTTGTACACTCAGTGTATAAAGATTGAGTGGAGAGACTAGATCAAACAGTCTGCTAAATGTGTTTCCACCACACAATCCACTAAACAAATAAATTCATCACACACTACAGTATCAATATTGCACTGCACATGAATGTGCATTTATAACATGGAAATGATTAGTGTGGCTGCTCTCTAGTGATTACCATGTAGTAGTGCATCAAGTTGTTAAACTGGTTTTCTCTGCATGTGTTGACCACTGTAAAAATGTTGCGTCTTTTTGCCAGCTAACATTTAAAGTTGTGCCTCTTGCTGTCTATAGGCAGTCGTGGAAAAAGTACTAAATTGTCATACTTGAGTAAAAGTAAAGATACCTTAATAGAAAATGACTCAAGTAAAAGTCAGCAAGTAAAATACTACTTGAGTAAAAGTCTAAAAGTATCTGGTTTTAAATGTACTTAAGTACAGTGGTGAAAAAAGTACTCAATTGTCATAATTTAGTAAAAAGTAAATGCTATACATCAAAATTCATTTTTAAGCAAACCAGATGGCAACATTTTCTAGTTTATATTTATTTACGGACAGCAGGGGCACACTCCAACACTCAGACATAATTTACAAATGCAGTATTTGTGTTTAGTGAGTCCGCCAGATCAGAGGCAGTACACGCTGCGCACAGACATCAATTCAACGTCTATTCCACGTTGGTTCAACGTAATTTCATTGAACTGACATGGAACAAACATTGATTCAACCAGTGCGTGCCCAGTGGGTAGGGATGGACCGTATTGCTCTCCTGTCTAAGCAATCAAAATGTAACAAGTACTTTTGGGTGTCAGGGGAAATGTATGGGACTAAAAAGTATATATTTTCTTTAGGAATGTAGTGGAGTAAAAGTAAAAGTAATAAAAAATATTAATAGTAAAGTAAAGATACCCCCCAAAAACTAAAGTAGTACTTCAAAGTATTTTTACTTAGTTACTTTACACCATTGTCTGTAGGTTGACTGGCTGAAGAAGAACAACTTTGGAGGAGCCATGGTCTGGACTCTTGATATGGATGACTACACCGGCACCTACTGTGGTCAGGGAAAATATCCTCTCATCAACGTCCTCAAGAAAGGCCTCAATCTGGAATCAGCATGTAAGGACCTGCACACTATATTGGGTTCAATAACAGAAATGTATGACTTCTTTGACTGCTGTGCTACAGAATTATATCAAACACCTAAAATATGTCCTTTCAATTCATGATGATTTTTGACCCATTTCAGCTTGCAATCCCCCTGCAACTCCCCTGCCCGCCATTAAGGGATCTACCAATGGAGGTGATGATGGTGGTGACTCTGGAAGCAGCTCCAGCGGAGGCAGTTCCAGTGGAGGCAGCTCCAGCGGAGGCAGTTCCAGTGGAGGCAGCTCCAGCGGTGGGAACCCCGGTGGGACCAGTGGCATGGACAGTGACTTCTGTGTTGGCAAGGCCGCCGGGATGTACGCTGACCCCAAGAACAAGAACCAGTTCTACAACTGCAGTCAGGGCATGACCTACTTCCAGTACTGTGCTACTGGCCTGGTCTTCGACACCGCATGCTCTTGCTGCAACTGGCCCTAACGTCCCTGTTTCAGAATGACAGGCTACATTTCAAGGGTGGAAGGTCTCCCTCCATTTTAGAACTGGAGGCCTCCCCTTTTGAGTATATATCCTACATTATATTTCAGATAGCAATAAAAAAAACTACTTAATTCAATAAATTGTTCTAAAAGGTTTTGAATTCATCCCCTTCTTGTGATCAACTATTAATGAAAGCAACATTTGTTCAGTCTTATGTTGAAATAAAAAAGTAGTCATTCAACTCATGTTCACATTTTTGAAAACATTTTAATATTGTGACAATGCATACCAATCCAAATGTCTTGAAAATAAAGCACATTATTATCATATACTGTAACATAACTACCCCTTGCTCACACTCTTATTACACAGTCATTATCTATAGGGGCTTTAAACAGAAGGTAGCATTAGCATATCTAAAAGGATGATGATGATTGGAATAAGAAGCAGTAGCAGCCTTTTCAGGAAGGAAAAAAGGAGGGACTAAATCATTTGGAATATATTAATAACTTAAACATGACTTATTCACTCCTCTGGCTATTGCAGGATGGCTAAAACATTACACAGGTCCTGGTACTGTATGTATTTATCTTCACTAACAGCGTGTTTTCTTCCTCGTCACATTGTTGGTCAATAACAATACTGGGCACCAAATGGCCCCAGCTACATATCCTCTCAGCTGCTCTCCTTCTGTTCTGTTTTACTGTCTACTACTGCTGCTGCTGCTGGTAGTGCTGGTGGGAGCTCCTCCACCATGGCTGACTTCATTGAGGTTCCTGTGGGGGGAGAAAGGTTAGCCTGTTAATAGATGGGTTACAGATAAATTATGTACTTTTTCCTCTATGTATGTTCAACTGTGATATGGCTGAGGTGGTCCTAGTACCAGTGAGGTAGTTCCTGTGCATGCGATGGAAGAACAGCAGCCCGAAGAAGAGGATGGAGCCGATACAGCCAATGATCATGCCACAGAGCAGGAAACTATAGCTGCCTTCACTCTGGATGATCTGGAGGACGCAAGGCACAATATTAGACTGTTTATCTACCTCTTGCTCTATCTTCCTCTCTCTTTCACATATACTATGTCTCTGTGCAGTCTTACCGATCCAACAAGGACTTGCATGACCATTTCTCCCATCCCAGCACTTGTTACCAGAACTGACGTTGCACATCCTGCCAAGAGAGAAAAGAGAAGCTGAGTAAGACACTCAGAGAGACGATATAGTACCGCATCATAATTTATCATACCACTCTATTACTGAGTCATTACTGTGTTATTACTGAGTCATTGACACTTATTGTGCTGGCGATTGATGAATGTACCTTGGTAGTCCAGGATGTCCTCAGTGTAAGCCAGCATACAGGGGAAGATGCTGCTGAGGAACAGGCCCAGTAGAGTGGTCCCAACAAACAGGAATATACTGCTGGTGTAGAGGACGAGCAGCAACAACACTGTGACAATGACACCAGCCTGCAGAGATTAAGAAAGACTTCAGTTGGATATATAGACAATCAATTATTGAGACAACTGTCCATTTAAATATAAACATATTGGAATTGAAAGACAATTAAGCTTTTATTACACACCTTCATTAACATTAATTAATTTCCCTTAGGGATTAATACAATATTCTATAATTGGCATTACCAGATTAATGATGAGCAGTCGAACGGGCTGGAAGCGGAAGGTGAGAGGGATGGACACCAGACGTCCTGCAGTAATGGCTGCCCAGAAGATACTAACCAGGTATCCCGCGGTCTTATTAGGTAGAGAAATGGGGGGAGACACTGCATATGTGTACACAAAGCCTGCATACGCACCCTAGGAATAGAAAGTGGAGGTCCACAGATTAATCCATTGCTGCATACATACACTAAAATGGAGCAGACTGCATAGTTATAACAGAATCTGTGCCACTCACCACAATGCCATCGGTCATGAACAGGACCATTCCGCCAACGATATGAATCCCAAAGAAGGACACAGGCAACTCGCGCAGGTTGTTATTCTGACAGCAGCTGAATATATCCCCATGACCTGCAAACCCCCAAGAGAAACATTAGGAGGGTCATAAACCACTTGGCTAGTACAGTAGGTGTGAATCTTCAACTGATCCTAACTCTGAGACTTTGATGTGATAGATTCCCATACATGAGATCCAAGTATTATCATTCTCCAATTATCTTGGTTATACTGTCATCTTATAGAGGAAATGAGGAGTTCAGATCAGATCTGAAACATTATGTTTTGTACTTTACCTCCTCCCTCCTCCTGGTCTTTAGGTTCTGTGTCAGGCCCCTCGGCCCCCTGGTTCTCCATGGCCAGCTCGTCTTTGTCCAGCAAACGAGGGGTGGTGCTGAGGCAGCAGGGGATCAACTGCTCCTGGTACATCAGGAATAACACTGCCATTGGCACTGGCAGCTGGGAGAGGAAAATATAATTCAAATGATATATAATTTAATCAAAGCCTTTGCAATAATCAATCAACATTATTACGTTTGGAGTGAGCGGAATTAATATTAGGGCGTTATGCTAGAGCTTACACACTGTATTTCACCTCACTATGCTTTTCCAAGATCTTACATTGATCATTGCCATGATCCAGAAGGCGTAGGACACAATGGACTCCTCTGGCTCCTCCGCTAAGGGCAGGTGGTCCACGGACACGTTGTGCATCACAATGGGGCTGTTCCTCAGCGTGTTCCTAAAGTGGTGCATGATCTGGGTCACATTTTCTGTTATGTTCCCCACCCTGCAGCCTGTCTCAGACAGGAAGGGATCAGCAATCAGAGGGCTCACCAGTGCCCCGAACCCAATGAAGAAGTGGAGGGCCTGCAAAAACAACAAACTGTGATGTACGGAAAAAAGTTTTCTATCATTCTTTCATTCTAAATATAATGCACTTTGGGTATATTCTGAATGCTGAACTGAACTGGGCATAGTTTCTCTCTCACCTGGAGAAAGACAGCCGAGTCCTTCTGATATATGGCAACCAGCTGGATGTTGGCGATGGTGTCGATGATGCCCATGGCCAGACCGGACATAGCCATGGCGATAGCCAGCAGCAGCACATTATGGCAGAGGGGGATGATGGCAAATATTACAGAGATGAGTAGCGAGGACAGGAACAGTGCAGCTAGAGCACTGAACAACCTTTGGGAGAGAGGGGAAGAGTTATTACTTACTAGAGATAACATACACACATACTAGAGGTTTGAATGGCTCAAACATTGAACAAGATGTTAGCCAACACTATGATTGAAATATGCAAAGGGGTGCTGGCTAGGGGCTCACTTTTGATAGAATAGGCTACAGAGATCATTGCCAACTGATGCATACACAGAGCCTCACACCTCACACAAGGGCTCTACACAGTAATTTCACAGACTAAGGAGCTCTGTTTGCGTTGTGTTAAAAACAATCAGCACCTAGAACTACGTAGAGAGCTACGCAAACAAACTGCAGATCCGTTGCGTTGACTGTGTAGAGCCCTTTAAATTCAAGCTATCTTTTTGTAATTCATTGGTTTAAAGTGAGAAATTCAAGTAACACAGTTCTGCCAAAATCCATGTCAAGATGAATACTGTGTGAGCAGAAATGTGCTCTCAGAAAATCAAACTATCTTGTATATATAGTCTGAGAATTGCAAACATGTAAGATATATTCTTCGGGCTGGATCTCCATAAAATGCTTCACTACACTCTTAGAAAAAAGGGTTCCTAAAGGGTTCTGCGGCTGTCCCCATAAGAGAGCCCTTTTTGGTTCCAGGTAGAACTATTTTGGGTTCCATGTAGAACCCTCTGTGGAAAGGGTTCTACATGGAACCCAAAACGGTTCTACATGGAACCAAAAGGGATTCTTCAAAGGTTTCTCCTATGGGGACAGCCGAAGAACCCTTTTTGGTTCTAGATAGCACCTTTTTTTCTAAGAGTGTAGGGTTGTACATTATAGATTCCGGGAATCCTCCAACCGGGATTTCAGGAAAACTAAATCATATTTTTTGAAAGTTCCCGGAATTTTGCAACCCTATGCTTCACACAGGGATCAGAGATCTGTTTGAATAGTCAGTCACGTTTTCTTGAAGAGCCCTCCGATAGAGCTGCCGATGAGCAGGCAGAACTGCTGGGAGAAGAACACCCAGGTGATCTGGCTCAGTGTAGACTGGGTTTGACATCGCAAGTCCAATATGGTAGGTCCCAGGAAGGCTATACACAGCCCAAAACTGAAGAACACACTCCAGTATGTACAGGTGTGGTGAAAGTTCCTTTTAAAAAGTGTTATAATCCGCTCTTCTATAAACATTATTGTTCCACAAGCTTCAGAAATTCAAGTTGAGAAATTATGAACAAGTCAGTCCACAAGTTTGCAAAGAGATGGGGATTCAGACTAAATTGTCCAGTAGTAGACCTAACTAGCGTTTATGTTATTTGGTGCCCAGTCAACAGTATGGTAAGTAACTACTCTGTCTCTACCTGCTGAAGGTCTTGTAGTATACTATTTGAGGGATTCGCTCTCTTTTAAAGCTTTTCAAGGCAGAGTTCCCACCTAAATTACTTAACTGAAAGGATGTCCTTTGTAGTTAATGGGTAGGGGAGATTCTATGGACATTGGGTCTATTTCAAGTGTCAATGATTTGCTGTTAAGTGTCGAACTGTGTCAAAGTTATATTTGAAAGCTAACTATTGTCTTATCGTGTCCCTCCATTCATTCATTTCGGTCCGGAAATGACACAGGATGAAAGGGTGCCTTGGCTTCCCTTGGTGCCATTATGGAGTTGTATCACCAAGAGGGCTTAGGGGATCTAACCTGTGCAGGGCCCAATGTAACTTCCCATAGATGTAAAAGCATCATACTTAATATATTATTAGAACATAACTTCAAAGGACTCCAACATGCTCTTGATCATTTATATGGCAGATTATCCTCTTCCTTTACCAGGGTTCGTGATCGAAGACTTTCTTTGTTTGGGCGGCCAGGGAAAAGTACTGGTGATGAGAGTCAAGGTGGGGAAAATGATTATCTCAAGTCATTGACAAAGTGTCACTTATACCTGCTGTCAGTTGTATATTTAAAATGGCAGACTTTGGGAATGACTCCCTGGCTAAATATAGGTTAAATAAACTATACCAACATGAACTTGTTTGCAGGTCTAAAGTCCAGGAGGTTGACTGGGGTTGGAGTATAGGAGGATGTGCATCATACAACACCACTAGTTTTATATTGCCTTACATTTGTTGTAAAACTTCAACCATGACAGGAAGAGAAAATTGGTTAACAGCAGGGATGTCCCAAGACTTGTCTTGGTGAGCGTCTTGGTTTGCTGGCTTACAGCTCATCCCTGAATTGATTTACTGAGGCTAGTGGCCAGTTATGGATTTCCGGGTCACAACAGGGTCAAGGAGTAGGAATGGGGACCAAGAAATGGTAGCAATTCGAAGAATCACAACCATTTATTGAATCCTATTCCTTGCCCCCGCAGTGAACTGGAAATCCAGCCGTCCAACACCCAACCATTTACCATATTGCACCCAGGCCAGTATCCTCCACATAGATGCTAAACACAACAACGTTCATGTAATTTGGAAGAGAGTATTTATGCTGCACATTCACTATACATTCATGCTGCAATATGCTACATATGCTTCATATCCTTGTGAAAGGATAAATATACACAGTGCCTTCGGAAAGTATTCAGACCCCTTGGCTTTTTCCACATTTAGCCTTATTCTAAAATTGATTAAAAAATAAATACAAATAAAACATCTGCACATAATACCCCATAATGACAAAGCAAAAACAGGATTTTAGAAAAAGTTGCACAAAAATTTAATAAAACCAAAATATAATACATTTACATAAGTATTCAGACCCTTTACTCAGTACTTTGTTGAAGCATCTTTGGCAGCGATTACAGCCTCAAGTCTTCTTGGGTATGACGCTACAAGCTTTGCACACCTGTATTTGGGGAGTTTCTCCCATTCTTCTCTGCAGATCCTCTCAAGCTCTGTCAGGTTGGATAGGGAGCATTGCTGCACAGCTATTTTCAGGTCTCTCCAGAGACCGGGCCACTCAAGGACATTCAGAGACTTGTCCCGAAGCCACTCCTGCATTGTCTTGGCTGTGCACCATCTCTATGCTCACCATAGGGATGGTGCCAGGTTTCCTCCAGAAGTGACGCTTGGCATTCAAGCCAAAGAGTTCAATCTTGGTTTCATCAGACCAGAGAATCTTGTTTCTCATGGTCTGAGAGTCTTTAGGTGCCTTTTGGCAAACTCCAAGCGGGCTGTCATTTGCCTTTTATTGAGGACTGGCTTCCGTCTGGCCACTCTACCATAAAGGCCTGATTGGTGGAGTGCTGCAGAGATGGTTGTCCTTCTGGAAGTTTCTCCCATCTCCACAGTGGAACTCTAGCGCTCTGTCAGAGTGACCATCGGGTTCTTGGTCACCTCCCTGACCAAGTCCCTTCTTCTCCCCTGACTGTGTGTGCCTGTTTCTTTTATTTTTAATACATTTGCAAATATTTCTAAAAACCTGTTTGCACTTTGTCATTATGGGGTATTGTGTGTAGATTGCTGAGGATTATTTATTTTTTAATCAATTTTAGAAAAGGCTGTAACGTAAAAACATTAGGAAAAAGTCAAGGGGTCTGAATACTTTCTGAAAGTTCCATGTGTGTGCAAGTGAATAAATTGTGGCAAAATCGAACAACTTGCTGGGTTCATATTGTGTAACTGATTTGCCAAGTCTATTCCTTGGAGCGGAGTTGCTGGTTGAGTCATGGCCCCTGAGAAATACTGTATATGTTTTTATAAAAGGCATTGATTAACAACAATCAGCCTGCACACTTCCTCTTTCAAGGTTACACCAACACACAAGTAACTTTTTAGGTAATTGTCAACTAACAATGTCAACAAACTAACATCCTTGCAGAGATTTGTAGATTTGTAAGGTGTTGTTAAATTTCAACTGCATTGTAATTTGAATGAGGCTGAAGATGACGGTTTTCCATGGTTGGTAGAACTGGTTCTGTCAAAGTTGTCACAAGCAGAATTATAAGAATTTGTGTCTATTGCAAACAAAGTATTATTATTTTACTCAAAACCTCTCAAATATTTGGTTAAGCACCCTGGTCTAACTATCACGATCACTATTTGTTACATACTTCTATTCTTTTAAAAAATGAAAAAATAATACTGTATATTGTATTTATTATATCCCAGAGTTATAATCTACAACTACATCATAAAAATATCACGTCTAATAAAGTACCACTTGCTCACTAACGCTCTGATTATAGAGGGGTTGAGGATGCTGACTTTCAACACTAGATGGTGCACATACGTTGCATTTCCTTTAATTTGGTATTTTATTTGTTTTTACCCCATTTTTTGTTGGGGGTACATTATCCATTTCAAATTATACTTTTATAAAACAGTCTATGAACAAATGTAAAATGTATAAATTGATGGTTCAGATTACGGGATGCCAAGGCTGGAGCAACAACCTCTCCCACAACGTCAGCAAGACTCAGGAGCTGATCGTGGACTACAGGAAACGGGGGGGGGGCGAGCATGCCCCAATCTAAATCGATGAGCCGGCAGTGGAGCAGGTAGACAGCTTCAAGTTCCTTGGTGTCCAAATCACTAAAGACTTAAAATGGTCCAAACACACACGCACAGTCGTGAAGAAGGTGCGACAGTGCCTCTTCCCTCTGAAAAAGTTTGGCATGGGCCCTCAAATCCTGAAAAGGTTCTACAGCTGTACCATTGAGAGCATCTTGACTGGCTGCATCACTGCTTGGTATGGCAATAGCACCGCCCTCGATCGTACATCACTGGGAACGAGCTCCCTGCCATCCAGGACCTCTATATCAGGCGGTGTGAAAAGAAGGCCCGGAAAATCGTCAAAGACTCCAACTACCCAAGCCATAGACTATTTTCTCTGCTGCCGCACGGCAAGAGGTACCGGTACATCAAGTCTGACACTAACAGGCTCTTGAACAGCTTCTATCCCCAAGCAATACGACTGATAAATAGCTAACAAAATAGCTACACGGACTGAGTTTACCTTGTATCTTTATTGACCTTTTATTTTAGTATTTGCACTGTCTCTATGCACACTCACAGGGCCCTACACACACTGTCACTCCAACACATACAAACAGTCACTCCATCATCTGCTCACTCACACATAATATGCACATACATTTTTATTTATTGTAATTTAGTAGACGCTCTTATCCAGAGCGACTTACAGTAGTGAGTGCATACATTGTCATACTTTTTTTGTGCATACATTTATAGTGACTCTACACACCCGCACACATGCAAGCTACTGATACACTGTTTATCTTATATCCTGTTGCCAAGTCACCTTACCCCTATACATATCGACCTCCTTCACTCCAGTATCCCTGCACATGTAAATATGGTATTGGAAGTTACCTTTTAAATATTTCCTTTATATAGTATGCTTACTTAGTTACTTACTTACTTTATTGTGTATTTCATATATATATTTTTTTTCTAGTAATACATTGTTATTGATTATTGCATTGTTGGGTTTTGAGTTGGCAAGAAAGGCATTTCACTGTACTTGTGCCTGTGACATTAAAACTTAAAACTCATATTTTTCCATACTCTGTTCCAGTTAAAGGGTTGTTCAGATTCAATTAGATCTGTGGACCATACTAATGGCTAGCTCAGAATATGAGCTTTCCAAAAGTTGTTTACACTGTATATTATAGAGATCAGTCCTTTCGGGAGCCCAGATAATTTATTTATAAATCCCATCATTGGAAGGTTGGGTAGTTGAGTTTCTTCAACATTAAATTACATTTACTGCTCAGTAATTGTATCCAATTAAATTAAATGCAAATTATGGCAATATCAACATCAAGATGGCCCTTCTTTATAAGATTGGCGACAGAATGTAGAAATGAAATAAGATCATGACACAGAATGATTTATTTTGCCATAGTAGATGTTCTGTAAATAGATTTAGTGAAGAGAAAATATGCTGATTAATCCTGCTAGTCAGATGTCTCTAATACTGAACGTTTCCGAGATTAACATTTTTACACTCTGAATAGCAGACAAACTTTCTGTCACGTATCTTAATCCATACATTATCGATCATATTAAATGAAAACAAACTGAGTTCTGGCAGACAGATTTTCATTTTCTCTGCAGGATTAATTTCCATGAATCAACCTCTAATATATTTTCTCTTTGTCACCTCTTTTGTCTCCGTCTGTCGCATATAGGCACACATTCGCTCATGCGCACCCACGCACACACCATTTTTTTTTTTCTGTTGAAGCCTTCTGACATTTAGTATGCTGGCCACATCAATGTCAGTAGCCGGACATAAACTAGAGAGAAGCATCTCAGGCCTCTCCACTCCTCTCCATCTCATCTCCATAGTCTGACATTTGGCCAACACTTAATCAGAGGCCTAAAACAGTGCGAGGTCAAACTGTGTATGG